AAGGCTGGCTGCTCCTTTCGGCTTCACGGGATTCGTTTCCACGGTGCACAAAAGTGCCTCAAAAAAAAAAAAGTGCAAAAGTGGAAGGCGTGCGGAAGAGGGGGCGAGTATATAACAAACTATATTTTGAGTGGAAATGTTGGGGGGTCGTCTTATACGCCGGGTCGCCTTATACGCCGGCATATACGGTACCTGTATAACACATTGCTATATAACTGAATGGAGCAAGCAGGGTGTTTTAAGGGCTGGATGCCTTTCCTGTCGCCAATGCGGAGTTTTTGTTCATATTCTCAGTGCGCCCAGAGAGAGAAATATCTGTCTCTTACCTAGGATCGAACTCACAGCTTCCTGTTTGGGAGGGGAGAGCTCCACTTCTAAGCCACCGCACCAAGTTTATGCCAATTTAATGGCAATGAAATAAACGGGGAGAGCGGTGGCTGCTATAATGGGGGCCTGTCCCTAACTAGGATTCTTGTTTCTTAGTCGTCATCATTTATTTCAACCTAATTGGATCGCAGGCTGAGGTGTAGCACAGCAAAAGCAAAAAAAAGAGAGAGAGAAAGAAATGCTTGCAAAACAAAAACAGCAGCAGTGATAAATCAGCCAGCAATGCAATTCATGTCTCTTGGCTAAAATAAAATATTTCTTTTCCGGTTAATGCTGTTCTAAACCTGCTCTGCAAACCAGATCCTAGTTTGATTTTAAAAATTTGGAAGTAGGTCAGAATTATTATTATTTTTTTAAAAAAAATCCAGATCGACAACAACTTTAGCAAGCTCTGCCCAGGTCCAAATATAGCATTGATGCTAAGAACATCAACAGGATATGCATGAAAACTTGAATGGTTTCAGTCTCCGATACAATTTTGTCACTCAGCGGTGAAATGAGTGGACTGGAATTGAGATTTTTTATAAAGAAAACCCAGGAAAGTCTGAATGTAAGGTAGCTCTAGAGTCTTAATATAAATGATAAGGATTTTTTTTTTATTAATTTTTTTTTATATTTTTCTTTTACAAAATGACCATCTTTCCATTCAAAGGTGTTAACTGGGTGTTAACAGATATATGTATCCAGTGTTAACCGGGTACATTTATCTTGTGCACATATTCATATTTAATATACATTTCATGTTATGTATCATTAAAATTACATTCATATTAAAATTCCATCCTTTTTTTTCTCTTATTATATTCTTATTACCTCTTATCTTATATTCATTCCATTTCTAACCATTTATAAAATATATCCCATATCGTATAATATTCTGTATCTTCTTGTTCTTTAATTTCCAATGTTAATCTATTCATTTCTGCACATTCAAATATTTTCATAATCACCCCTTCTGTAGGAATCTTCTTATTCTTCCAGTTTTGAGCAAATAAAATTCTAGCTGCTGTTAAAATATGAATAATCAAACACATTTTTTCTTTACTATAGTTATCAGGTAAAATTCCCAAAACTATGATAAAGATTAAGGAGTTAACAGAAGCATATGTTACTCCTCGCAGCAAAGAGAAGCAGAGACCGGTTGAATTGATTCTTTTATCCAAAGAAGAGAAGATATCTAACCTTGTTTCTATTCTGAAATTGCTTCCGGATTTCTGGCTTGCAATGAAAAAACAACAACTATTGAAACTTTGAGTTTTGGTTTTGTTAATTTGACAGGCTTATTGGCATAGAAATGGCTGGTACAAGCTGTTGCGTAAAAGCAAAACAGTTGTGGTTTGTGATGTTCTCTTCTACTGTGCTAAAGAATCGGAAGTTGGTACCTTTTCCTTTCCTTTCCTCCCTTTACACTATATTTCTTTTTCCCCTTCCCTCCCTCCCTCTCTTCTTAGTTTTCCACTACTTTTTATTTTATTTTTCTTTGTATTTGATATTTTGAAAAACCAATAAAATCAGAGAGATAGAAATAGATGATAGATAGAATAGAATAGGAATGCAATAGAATAACAGTTGGAAGGGACCTTGGAGGTCTTCTAGTCCAACCCCCTGCTTAGACAGGAAACCCTACACCAGACAAATCCGTTATCCAATTTCTTCTTTAAAACTTCCAATGTTGGAGGATTTGCAACTTCTGGAGACAAGCTGCTCCACTGATAGATAGAAAAATAGAAAGATAGAAAAACAGAATATATGATAAACAGAATAATAGGTAGAAAGATAGATGATAGACAGAATGAGAGAGATCGATCGATCGATCTGGCTTGGGGTGGGTGGGGTTGGCTTCCCAGAAAGTGGGCTCCCTTGAGGTCGTAAGCGGGGGCCTCCCCTGCACAGGCGTGCGCGCGCTCCCTACGCAGCGGAGCGCTCTGCACGCGCCCAGAGGGACTTTTGCCCGCCAGCTGCAGAGGCCGCCCTTCCGTCGCGCCGCCGGCCGTCCATTTCTGCGGCGGGAGGAGGAAGAGCCCGGGCGGGCGGGTTTGCAAGGCGGGGCTTGGGCGGCTCGGGCTCCTCCTGGCTTCCTTCCTGCTCGCTCGGCCGCCTCTGCGGCTCCTCTCCGCCCCGGAGGAGGCGCCTTTTTCCCCTGCCCGGCCGCTGCTGGTCCCCGGCTGCGCCGTCCGGCCCTGGCTCGGCGGCTGGGCGAGGGGAGGACCATGAGCGCCTTGCGGGACGTCTCGCTGCAGGACCCGCGGCTGCGCTACGAGCTCATCCAGCGCATCGGCTCCGGCACCTACGGCGACGTTTACAAGGTGCGCAACGGGGCGCACGGCCGGCTTTTTGGAGAGGGTCCCCGGGCGCGCTTGGGGAGGGAGGGAGGGAGGAGGGGGGGGTCCCCAGGGGGGGGGGGGGGGGGGGGCGGGGGGGGGGGGTTTCTAATGGGGGGGGTCCCGCTGACTGGCAGCCCCCCCTTTTCTTTCCCCCCTCCCCCCTCCCCGTTGGGCAACTTCTCCAAAGCGCGCTTTTGGAGACGCGCAACGGGGAGCAAGGAGCCGTGGACTGCATCGCTGCGCGGTGGCGGTGGGGATCATTCTGCAACCCCCACCACCATCTCCCGGGTGGGGTGTGGATCGGACTGGGGAAGGGGTGCAGAGGGGTGGGTGGGTGGGTGGGAGAAGCAGGAAATTGTGGCCGGGGGTTCCAGGGCTTCTCCCCCGCCTCCCCCCGGGGCGTGTCCGGGTCTCTTGCGCTCAAGTTTTCCCTTTTTTGTTGTTGCACAGGAACCAAAGGGTTGCCCCAAGCGGAGGGCGCCTTTTGGAGAAGGCGAGGCGAGTGTGGGCTGGGCTGGGCTGTGGGGTGGTGCTGGCTTGGCTGGCTGGCTGGCTGGCTGCTTCTCCGGCCAAGGTCGGCTCTGGGGGGCAGGCTGGCTTTGCTACAAGTTGTAGGCAGGGCGGGCGGGATCCTCTCCCTGCTCGCTCCGCTTTCCTGGAGGGAGCGAAGTGACCACAATGCGCTTATTTGTCCGGGTTGCCAGGGAGTTTGGCACGCGCGGATCTTGCGGTGCTGAGGGCTAGGAAAGAGGGAAGAAGAGAGGAAGGAAGGAAGGAAAGGAAGAGGAAGGTTGGGAGGGAGGGAGGGAGAAAGAGAAAAAAGCAAGAGGGAGATAAAGAGAAAAAGAAGAAGGGGGGGGAGAAGGGGGAAAGAAGAAGAGAAAAAAAGAAGGAGGAAGGGAGGAAGAAAGAAGAAAAAAGTGAGAGGGAGATACAGAAAAGAAGAGGAAGATTGGGAGGGAGGGAGGAATGAAGAAAGAAAAAAGAGAGGCAGAGAAAGAAAAAGAATATGATTAGGAGGAAGGGTGGGAGGGAGGGAAGGAGGATGAGAAAAAAGGGAGAAAGAAAGAAGAACGAGAAAAGATTATGTGGGAGGGAGGAAGGAAGAGAAACAAGTGAGAGAGAAAGAAAAATAAAGAAAGAAAGAAGAGGAGGAAGGTTTTGAGGGAGAGAAAGAAGCAAGAGAAAATGAAGAATATTAGTGGGAGGGAGGGTGGAAGGAAGAGAAGAAAGAGAGAGAAAGAAAGAAAGAGAAACTGTTGAAAGAAGATCCTTGCAAATTAAAAATGGTTGTCTTTGCAGGGGCTTTGGCAAGGGTGGGTGAGCAGGGCGGAGGAAGGAACATGGAGCTATTTTAAGAAGAAAGAGCTCAAGAGAGGAAATTGGCTTTGGGGGACCTTGGCAATATTTTTGGACCCATCATCCGTTTCTTCCCCTTTGTTTGGGGTCCTCCTGAAACTTTGGAGTCCTGGGAGCAAGCTACTAAACAGGAATTACTTTGCTGAAAGCTTATCTGATTTCTAGTGGGGTTTGTTTGTTTGTTTGTTTGACACTGCAGGCCACAATTTCTCAACCTCAGCCGCTTGAAGGTGCCTGGACTTCAACTCCCAGAATTCCCCCAGCCAGCTTTGCTTTGAATTCTGGGAGTTGAAGTCCAGGCACCTTAAAAGTTATTGATATTGAGAAATACAGTATTGTTGTACACTAACACAGGTCTACTACTACCACTAACACAGGTAACCAGTACGCTAACACAGGTTACTTGCTATTTCATAGGAACTGGGGGTGAGGCAATACTTGCCAATTTGAAAACACCTGTGGGTCCAGGGGTCCAGATTGATAGTCCTGTTACACAGGACTGTAATATTATTTATTAAGTTTATATGCCACCCGAAATTTTGAGTGGTTTAACGGAAAGCATGAATTCTTGGTGCTCAGGGAGAGGGGGTGGCATGTTTTGAGATCCTTGATAGTGGAATATTTATTGATTGATTGGATTTTTATCTAATAACCATTCTCACCAAAATTGATAAGGCAAGCAAAAGAATATAGAATGAGAGCGAATGCCACTCCCTACTAGCCCTGATGATGCTACCTAGATTGGTAATGAAAAGTCTGCAAGAAAGCAACCAAGCTCAGAGAGCATCAAGGACCCCCCCTCCTCCTCCTCATTCTCCCCACTTCTTCTCCTCCTCCACTCCATAAAACCCACTCCCTTCTAGCCCTGATGATGTTACCTAGATTGGAAATGAAACGTCTACAACAAAAGCAAGCTCAGAGAGCACCAAGGACCCTTTTCCTGTTCCTACTCCTGCTCCTCGTCTTCCTCCTCCCTTTTTCTCCTCCTCCACTCCATAAACCTCACTCCTTTCTAGCCCTGATGATGTTACCTAGATTGGTAATGAAACATCTGCAACAAAAGCAACCAAGCTCAGAGAGCACCGAGGATCCTCCTCCTCCTCCTCCTCCTCCTCCTCCTCCTCCTCTACTCCATAAAACCCACTCCCTTCTAGCCCTGATGATGTTACCTAGATTGGTAATGAAATGTCTGCAAGAAACAACCAAGCTCAGAGAGCACCAAGGATCCTCCTCCTCCTCTACTCCATAAACTCCACTCCCTCCTAGCCCTGATGATGTTACCTAGATTGGTAATGAAACATCTGCAACAAAAGAAACCAAGCTCAGAGAGCCAATGTTCTGATCTAGGCTTCCTTAGAAAGCATAAAACACCATCTTAGTCCCGGCAAAACCTCTTTTATTTCCACGGCTGTGAATTACGTTCATTCACAGCCTGCAAGGCTTCACAAAAAGTCTTTCAGGGGAATGTTTATAGACACCCTTATCTTATCGCACTTGGAACGTGGCCAGAGAACTAATTGCCAGGCGCAGGGCAAGGCCAAACTTGACAAAAGTTCTGTTGACAAACAGAACTTTTCAAAGCTTGAATCGACCGGACGAACTAATTGCTTCCTGCAAAAGCCCACGTCCCATTTGCTCCTCTTTTATCTCCTATGGGAGGGGCCAGTCACCTCTGAGGTGTGGCCTTACTCCTGAGTTGACCCCGCTTTCTCAATTGTCTCCCCTGCCTCACTGCTGTCCGAGCCCGAAGGCAGCTGATGACTGTCAGCCTGCCCTGGCCCCATCCCTGCCTCTGATGCAGAGCGGTCGTCCGAGCCCTCCTCAGCCTCCAGGCCCGGCCCAGGTTCCTCCCCAACCTCCTCACTACTGTCCGACTTCCGTCAGCCACCGGCAGGGCCACAGCAACCAACAAGGACAGAACAGAACAGTTAAAAAGATGCAGATTGGGTCAGCTGTGCTGATGGAAACCAGAAACAGATCTGTTTTTATACTGAATGGCGAAACACAGGCGGTCCTAGACGTATATGACCGTAACGGAAGGCCAACATTTCCGTTGCTAAGTGAGATACCTGGAAGTGAATTTTGCACCTCATTTTGCCACCTTTCTTGCAGCCATTGTTAAGCGAACCGCTGCAGTTTTTACCTCAGTGACACTGTTGTTAGGTGAGTCTAGGTTCGTCGACTTTGCTTGTCTGATAGTCGCAAAAAGGGATCACATGAGTTTTTTCCAAAGGAGATAAGGAGAAACTTTCTGACAGGGAGAACAATCAACCCATGGAACAGAAGTTTCCCTCGGAGGTTGTGGGAGCTTCATCACTTGAGACTTTCAAGAAGAGACTGGACTGCCCATCTGTCAGAAATGGTGTAGGGTCTCCCGTTTGGGTGGGGGGTTGGACTAGATGACCTACAAGGACCCTTCCAACTCTGATTATCTGTTATTTTTTAACTTAAGATGGCTGGACTTCAACTCCCAGAATTCAGCTGGCTGGAAGGCCGCTCCTCTTAAAAGTATATTTACTGGAGAATTCTGGGAGTTGAAGTCCAGCCATCTTAAAGTTAACAGGGTTGACGAACAGCGATCCAATGTTTTGATGTAAATTCTCGTGCAACGTATCCAGGCATATGTGTGTGTGTGTGTGTGTGTGTGTGTATCTTCACTGTTCATTTCACCATCCAAGTGATATATTTATTTTATTTGGGCACACCAGTTGATCGAACTGGCTTCATCCCGTCTCGTTAGTTCACACATCCAGAGTCGAAAAGGATCTCTTGATTAAAACAGATCCTATAAAACAGTGTTTTTCCAACCTTTACAAGCACCTACAAGATGTGTGGACTTCAACTCCCAGAATTCTCCACTTCGCATGGCTGGCTGAGGACTTCTGGGAGTTGAAGTCCACGCATTTTAAAAACCGCTATAAAACAATCCTGGGCAACTGGCATCTTAACAGTTATGTTGGGGGCCCCCATTGCTTAAAATGTCTAACCCGCATGATCTTTATGCTGGTAGAAGAGCTTCGACTGGGAGACTGGAAAAATAATGCAATCTGTGTCTTTAAACCGATTCATTCAAGTTACTAGTCCTCAATACTTTTTTTTTTTTTAATCCATGCTTTCCTCTCTGAGTAAATCTGATTTAGCCTCCTGGAGCCAGAGGGAAAGAGGAGAAGAACAAAAAATATTATAAAAGCATGGGCGTTTTGCAGATTCTGTACCCACTGAAGGCAGTTGGAGGAACAGCTGTTGTGACGCTTCCGTATGTTGTTTTCTTATAATTGTGTGTATGTGGTTGTGTGTTCATCCTTAGAAGCCCATGAGGTGCCCTTAGCATCATTAATACCAGTAGTCACAATCATGATAATCCTATTTTATGATGCTTCTGCATTTCTGCATTTAAATCCAGCCCTATTTTCTTGCTGGTAAAATTGGTTTTTCCCCCCACCCCAAGCTGTATTTTATTGCACAGGTAGTCCTTGACTTACCTCAATTGATTTAGTGACCGTTTGAAGTTACGACGACACTGAAAAAAGTGACTTAGGACCGCTTTTCATACAATCATTACAGTATTCTCCATGGTCACGCTGTCAGGATTCCAGCAATAGCCCTAGTTAAATCATGATTCT